TCCCACCTCCTCCCCCCCCCCTCCTTAACGGGATTTCGTCGTGCTCGTGAGTCATAAGGGTATAGTAAGGTGTGTAACTTATGGGTACTGACTGTAAGTATAAATCTGATGACTTGTTGAGTCTCTGCGACAGAAGGAATTTGAGCAGTTGGCGGCAAGTGGACTTGCACTGACAAACTCACCTAGCGGGTTAAGTACGTCATCTAACTGCTTGGTGATGTCGGCCATTTTGTCACAGAATTCCATGACGTCTTTGCCAATTTCAAGGCCTCCATTGGTCAAGCATGTCACTTTCATGGTCGACTGGGCACAGTCTGTAGAGTTTTAAAAAAAACCTACAAATATAACAGAGTAAAAAGTTGACGTAGAACTACGTGTGTACATGTAATTATACCAAAACATAGATCTATTATAATTGTGTATCTCTCTGGAGGCTCACATTGTTAAAATGGAACCTGCTGTAACTAGCACTTGTATAAGTCAATCACTTGTGCAAACGGCCACTGTCCATTTCTCCCCTTGTGTATATCAGTTACATGTTAATGGCTCTGTGTAAGACGGCCATCAGTATAAAAGAACCACTTTTCTTCCGCACAATGGTTGTCCGTCTTAGACAGTTTTGAAGTCACTTTCCCACTACTTCCTTTTACCGCCAGATATTTTTTTACGAGACAGCGCAGTCGACGACACACTTATCTGTGCCTGGCCATTTCGTCTAACCTTGGCATGTTTTTGCCCAGGGTGATTGCCTCGCCCCTGATTGCGCTTCTGTAAATTTCAGTTGGTCTGCCTTTTCTTCTTTTTCCAGTTTGTCTCCAGTACTATGTCTGATATAATGGCAATCTTGTCTCTGGAATTCTCAAAACATATCCCACATATCTTCATCTTCTCTTTTTTTATGGTTGTGTTGATATCTTCAATCCTAGCTCTTTCCAACACTTCATTATTTGTCTTGAGCTCATTTCATTTTCTTGATAAACCAATACCTTCATAATGATTTCTTTTGACGACCTCGTATATCGCCCTCCCCACCCTTCCTACTCCCGTAAGGATACAGATTAGTCGACAGTGTAATTTTGTGTTGTTTGGCATAATGGCATTACGTTGACCCCTTTCATATACTTTTTTTTCTCTTGATAAAATTTGAGACTTATGCGAGAATGAGATTTGATATATGTGCATTCTTAATAATAATCCAGTCTAAATTTGTCCCCAGATCCAACAAGAAAAGAAACCAACAGCCTGGCAAGTGCCTAACGTGAAATAGAATAAAACTAGCCCAACTCAAGCAAGGGGTTTTTAATTTTCTGAGCCAGATGTATTATTACTTCTTTAAAAACGTTCACTATCCCCC